GTGGATTGAGCTACCGCATGGCCAACGGGGCCTGACTAACGGCGTTGAACTTAGCCTCCGTGCAAAAAGCCTAAATGCTTTCGTTGACTGAAAAGGTTTAGCTTTAACATGTCTACCCTTCAGTTGCACTTCAGCAACGCCATTAAAAACACTGATCGTGTGATTTGAGATGGACAACCATTACGATCCAAATACCGGTTGCGGATGAAAGCATACATGCAGCGAAATATCAATGAATTCGGTCGTGCCAAGTGTCATGGAGGAAGGGATTCCTTGTTGAGCATCATGCCGCAGGCTTAGCTTTCGAACAAGGCTTTCCTGCAGTTGAGTGACGGAAGTCAATCTCCACAGATCAACGTTCAAGCTTCAGTTCACTTCCAGATAAAGCAGAAAATCAGGACCGGACAGCAACGGCCTAGTTGAACTGCTAGCATGCCATCTTTCGACACCATCTCTGATGTTTTTGTGTGCCGTTTCTTCATCGTTCGGAACATGGTATTCCCCTATCTTGCAATTATTTATTCGGGAACGTTACCGTATATAAACAGTGCCGATGTAGGTTATGAGGCTTTCAACAACTTCGAATTCATTGCAGATAGCAAAGATACTTAGCTGACTAGATTTCAAGTGAACAGTACTTCCAGATATAACCGACGTCATCGCCGGTCATTACTCCCTGTATTATCTTCTGTCCTCGCGTTGTTTTTGAGACTGAATGCGGGGATTGTGCAACTCGTTAACAGCTCGACATCGTAGTGACAGTCTCCATTTTACAATGACTGGTCCCAGAAAGAATCGGATTCTCGAAATTGCATCATGAATAGCAGTCATGTCATCATAGTGTCTGAGGGAACCTGTGAGTTAAGGATCTTTATAGATCAACATGCCTGGGAGCCATTTCAAGCAAGCCGATACGATACCGGCAGGCAATTACATCAGGATATGTCGGTCCCAGGCCTGGCTACAAGGCAAGGGGAATATAGAAATCGCACGAGTCGGTGTCTCGAAATGCCATCAACGCTGCAGAATGAAACTGCTAATCCCGGTCAGCCCGTCAGTAATGTGGCTTGGTGTGATCTACTGGCAGCTCGTCGTGATGCTATGCATCTAAGCGAGGTGAGAAGGCAGTGGGCTGGAAGCTTAGGATTTGGTCGTGTTAGTGTTCTTTCAGTCTTTCAGATCAGGTCGGATCGCAAACTCCAGCAACGCAGATCTTGTCCGAAGAGAGGCTGCCGAGGTCAAGAGGGGGCGTATGCCGCAGGAGCTTAGTCTGAAGCTACAATCACGCCCTTATTTGGTACGTTGATCAACGCGTCTGGAGGATCAGCTAATCGCATGGATGACAAGTAATGTTTGCTTCGTTTGAAGGGTAGCAGAACACGGTATGGTGATTGTCCTGGAAGTATTGGGGCTGTGAGAAAAGTCATCATCGGAAGTCGAAGTCATCATGGATACACTGGTTGCAGAAAGGTCGTGTCTCTAGCCACGTTAGCGCCTGGCGCGCGAGATGTGAACAGATGCATAGAGCCCTTATCGAACTCACTTTGCAGTGGTGGAGTTACTCCTGGCCTTGGCTCGATAGTATAACCCTCTTATTCGAGTCCGATCACGAGGCCTATTCTAGATATTGAACCAATATGGTTCTCGAATAAACGAGAGCCACATCGAATCCGGCCTAGGACAGATGCGAAAATGTGACGATGCTTGGGTTAAGCTGACACATATGGGCCAGTCCTAGGCCGCTTGAGAGTTGCCATACTTAAAGAAAGGCCAAACTTGTCATTTTCTTTTCTCTCTTTTCGAGATGAGATCGCCAACATGTACCCACTTGGGAAAGATAATGGAGCCCTCTGTGCTTCAATGCGATTCGCCCATGGTTGATTGTTGACAATGTCGTCGATAGAAGTGTAGATAGTAGTGTGCAAGTATACCATAGTGAGCTCGATCATGGCTGGTGCTCGGAACTTCTGGTCCGCATATTTCTCTGATAGTGATGACAGGTGAAAAATTGCCGAGGCGTATGAACCAGAAACGAGACAAGTGATGTGGGCAAGATCGCTCAATAGTCTCATTCTTGACTTATATGATACCAAGGGGTTCGAGTATGCGGTGTATAGAGCCCCTCACTCACAAACCTCGTCGAATGCTTAGCTGATTGTGATAAAACAAATGGGGTTTACTGTAATTACCGAGATGCAACTTTGTTTACTCGACTGACTATCGTTCGAGAGTCGACAGATCAGCCTTGCACTTTGCATAGAGTATAGAATGACAGATTGGTCCCGGGTAGGTAAAAAAGCAGCATATACTGATATTGGTTAGCAGCCAATCATACCTGAACAAGAGTTGCCAATGATCAAAGGGTTCATCATTCCCGGAACATTCCCCATGTCAGGCCATGAGGCGTTTCGTTTCTCGGAGCGCTCCGACCTGACGAAGCGAGACATGAGGCGAGACAAGACTGTGGCTTATCCAGATGCGGATCTAGACGGCGACCTCACATAAGCATTCCGAGGTATGAACGCCGATGGTCGTAGAGCCTGGCATAGCCCGACGACCCAAAAGTTGGCGAAAACGAAAGTCGTTGCTTATCTGCCAGTAGAAATTGCGGTTGATTCCAGGACATCAACGGTGATGCCGAGAAGCCAACCGTTGGCATTAATTGATCGATCTAGAAGACCCCTGATTCATGGTGCAGGGTAGAGGTTTAGCGCCATGAGATGGGACACGGTGCGGCATGGCGTTTATACAACTGAGGACCGTTATGCCGCTTTGACCGCAAAACGCCGCCATTATTGCCGCTCATTTCGGGAGCTTGCCACGGCACTCTGCGGCATAATTGAGCTTTTACTTTATATTTAAGATACGATGTGCTGCCATGCCCTTTCAGGACACTCGCGGCCGATATAGGGAGTTGAATCATGGAGATGGAGGGCGAGTAATCGTCCATCCGCCTGGTTTGCCATCTGCTGTAGCTCTGTGCAAAAGACACGACGATGATGGCATGGATTGCATTACAACAAGAGATTGGAGTCTTGCTTCCGGGACAGCCGATACTCAACTCTGTAATATTAGCAATCAGATGCCCAATTCACTCGAGTATTGACAAAGATTGTCCCAAAAACACCTCTCAATGCCGCATATCCTCGGAGTTGTCAACTTACAGACAGTTTTTTGAATTTCAAGTCCATTCGGCGACTCGGGCATAGTTCGGTGACTGTCTGCGCCGGACGAGTTCGGAAGAAACTGACATCATCTACCGTCATGCAAGAAAACGGTACACTCGGCCATGAAAATTTGTTTGCCATTTATATACGTCAGGATAAGTAAGAGGGATCTGAGATATTCATCGATTGCAGAAAACGCCATTGACTCGCATATCGCAAACCTCACGAATTATCACGACACTAATACATCGACCTCAGCTCACGTTTACGACATCTTCCAAGTACCTGAAACCCAGCACTCTCTCAGTTGACCCACCGCGGATTTAAACCACGCTGCAACCCACCTCGTTCGGTGTCTTATCATACCACCTTTGCCTTGAAAACAAATCACTGTAAACTGTTGCGCCCTGAGATAAATCCCATCTCTACTACAAATCTCTCGCCTCTCCCACGACCGTCTTTCCCCTCAATTCCAATCCAGTCCAAATCGCAATCATGAAGATTCTCACAAAGGAAGAAGAGGAGGCGCACTACTCAGCTGTCGTCAAGGGCGGTCTCATCGGAGGCAGTCTTGGTCTCGCTGTTGGTGTTGGAGGTGTCATTTTTGCTTCAAGGCGATACCCTGCTTTCCGTGGCCTCACAATCCCCTTCAGAACGTTCCTCGTCACATCCGCCAGTACATTTGGCGCCATTATCAACGCCGATCGCTGGTCCATGGATTTCCAGAAGAAGCAGAACCCCATGAACTTTTACGAGGACCAGACTCAGCGCGCCCAGCAGATTGTTCGCGAGAACCAGACTACCTGGGAGCGCTTTATGGAGTACGGCAAGGAGAACCGCTACTCTATCGTATTTGTCTCATGGCTCGCATCCATGGGTGTCGCATTTGCGCTCGTGAGCCGTTCCCCAATGAACACAGCCAACAAGGTCGTACAGGCCCGTGTGTATGCTCAGGGTCTGACCCTCGCGGTTCTCATCATCTCTGCTGTCTTTGAGATGAACGACGCCAAGAAGGGTGAGGGTCGCTGGCAGACCGTCATGGTCGTCGACCCCGAGGACCCCGAGCACAAGCGTCTTATCGAGAAGAAGATCCATAAGGAGGAGTATGAGGGTCAGGACCTCTGGAAGGGTAAGTTGCACATGAGATTCTGTATAAATTAAAAACAGTGACTAACTGGGGTAACAGATATGGTTGCCGCTGAGGAGCGACGACTGGCCGCCAAGAAGCAAGCTGAGAGCAAGGCTTAAAATAAACATATTATCTCTTGTGACGACAAAAACAACGCGACAAAAACCATTCCTCGATACAAATTACCTTCAAATTCATCATTAATACCACGCCGAGCCAAGTCGACAACCACAGGAGGAGAATGGAAATTGTATATTCGTTGCCAGCAAGCAGAAGTTTCATGAGCCGATGAGCCGGGATGTAGAGGAAGTGGCTATTATCAAGTTGGACAGTCAGTCAAACAAAACTGCCTTCTGTTTTGTCTTTTCTATGTACATAGAGCGGGTGGGATGGTTCCTTGGAGTAACAACCTCTTAAAAAAATTGGTCCGGAACGTGTCTTTGGTTGGGTTTTTAATTACTTCCAATGTATCATATGTAGCCATGACAGCAAGAATTAAGCAAACATCATTATCTCAAGCGTATATACAAAGGACATATGAGGATGACCCAGCATCTCATTGTTCTAAACTAATAAATTAACAAAGATCTGCACCGCCGACTCCCTGCTAGCCCTCTTTTGAATGGTCCAGTTACCATCCCAAAACAACAAATCGATTATCAAGCACACTAATATATCCAAAGGAGCTGCATTAGCTCATACCTCTAAACCTCAATGGTAAAATGGCTGATTTGCGAGTAATATGCATGAACAGCTAGCTCTAACAGCATAACGTCGCCATACACCTCGCTTCCATCGAAACCTCCAATGACAATAAGGCGGCTGTCATATAGCACTGTCCCATGATAACCGCGACCTGAAGGCGCTTTACCGTATACCCGACGTCTATCCCATGTCATTGTCACCAGGTTCAATAGCAGGACATCATTCGAGTATTCGCTTCCGTCGTGGCCACCAATGACAAAAAGATAGGAGCCGACTATTGTGGCCGTATGTGATAAACGGCGGAAAGCAATGGGGATAGGGACTGCTCTCCATAACTGGGCGTCAACGTCGTAAACCCACACATCGTCGAAACATTCGCCGCCATCAGAGCCTCCGAAAATGATGAGTTTGCTACCCACCATGTTGGCTGTATGGTAGCCCCTTGCCTTAGGACGATAGTCTTTTGACCCAGGACTTGACTTATCAGAACTTGACACTAATCGCCATGACATTTTGTTGACATCAGCAACATCTAATCGCCAGATATCATTCAGAGCTCGGACCCCGTCGCCGCCGCCGAACACGTATAGACCGTTCTTGTATAGACAAGCAGTATGCGCTCTCCGCTTCGACGGCATCTTATCTCCTATAATACGGGGCTTTGTCCAACGGAAGTTTGTTGTATCCAAAACATAGACATCGTTATAATACTCCGGGCCGTCACCTCCGCCAAACACGATGAGTTTCTTGCCTACGGCAGTACATGTCATGGCTCTCAGGGGAACAGGTATATCACCAACGACATAAGGTATAGACCAGTGGAAAGAGTCTGCATCCAGCACGTAGAGATCGTTGAAGCATGTTCTTGAGTCGCAGCCGCCGAATACATAAACGTTCGAGCCAATGATTGTTGTTGTGTGTGCTCGTAATGAGGTGTGAGGAGCGCCCGACACAGGTGCCTTGGACCAGTACATGCCAGATGCTGGAGCCACGTCGACGTTTGGAGCCGTCCGGGGGTCTGGAAGTGACGGGAACGCAGTGTACTCGTCTTGGGATATGCGAGATCTATGCGATGCATACCGAGCGGTCGCTTGTGCAGTCGTTCGGCTAGTTATGGCAGATGTCGACCGTGCAGCGGTTGGTCGCCGAGTATGTCGATCTCCCTCGCTTGAGGCATCGCCAGCGCTGGTTGAGATTGAATGCGGCGGTTTGTGGGCTGCTCTCGAGGTAGGGGCTCCTTGCGAAGCGGTCTGTGATGCGGACTGAGAGCGCTGCCGGATGGAAAGATCGGAAGGCTTTCGACGATTCGCCTGTATGCTTTTGCTGGCAAGATGGCCTGGTGTATGGCTTCTAGGTAAGGGCATCTGATCGCTAGACTCGTCATCGTCGTCGGAATCGTCGTCGACAAAGGTCGGCCCTGTGGCTGTGGGAGCCGGAACAGGTGATCGTTGTTGTTGAATTCCCTTTGCCTTGAGATGCGACTTATCGGGGGACCTCCTCGGATCTGCCATGACTGCGTAGGTTCTTCTTCATTGCCTACCTAAACAAGGCGTTGAGCTTGTGACTTGAACTGGTCGAGGTGGGGGAAAGGTGGAATGACTGAGAGCAGTGAAGCGGGCAAAAATGAACGAACAATATGCAATTAAAAGCAACCAGCTGAAGCCAAAGCCAATTGGCGATTTGCCAAGGGCGCAAAGAGAGGGAGGGGCAGGCGAGCTGTTGATGGTGATAGTACGTAAATGATGTCGAAGGGTAGGGATCGTGCAACGTTGGAGCTGGGGTTGAGTCGAGTAGGTATCGTCTATCGAGTCGAAGTACCTGAGTACCTCCTAGCTTTGTTGTCAATGATTTCTGGAACACTTTTAGCGAGGCCCGGTCCCTGTGACCAGCTGCGGAGATGAGGCTCTCAGGCGTCTATGTACCTGATACATTCGCTCACTCACTGACCTCATAGCACATCAGACGTAGAAATAGACCCCAGGAAATTTAGTGCAGTTTTAGTGTACACCATCAAATCGAGGATTTTTTCCTACCTAATGCACTTGAAAGTCGATCTCGGTTTTGACGACTGATCTTTTCAATAGCTGGCACCGAACGAGCACTGTCAAAAACTATCACACATTTATTTGTGTATAGTGGTGCAAGAGGTAAGCCAATTCTACTCACACACCGAGCGAAAAATAAAAATAAAAAACCTTTGCACCTTTGCACCTTTTTCCTTCCTTCCTGCCTTTCTCTCTCTTACACTCACCCACTCCACTCATACATCATTTACTTATTCTTCATAGCGAATTTGTGAACTCATAACTTTCCTCAACAAATACATTGTCCCGGAGACTCATCATTCACTACCGTCCTTACCATGAGTGAGCAACGCGATGCTCAGATGGGTGGCGTCTCCCCAGGCAATGAGCATGCAGAACTCGCAGCTGATGCCAGCAACATTACAACCTCTACAAAAGATGGAGAGCGGGCTTCGAAGAGAATTAAGGTTAACGATTCGATCCCTTCTCAGTCTGTCCCAGGAGAGGATTTGCACGATGCACCCCCTCCTAAGGAGAATGAAAACTCCACAAATGGCGACAAGGAGAATGAGGCCCAGAGTTCAAAGTCGGACCTCAAGACAAAGTACGTTGATGGACGCGCCAAAGGAGTTGCTCCTATCAAGAAAGAGTGAGAAGCCCATCGTAGACCCATTCTTGAGACACACTGACAAAGCAAAGGTATCTTGTAGACATGTCAACTCAGAAGGATGCGTCCAACGATGCTGTGAACGACGATGACGCAGCTGAGGCACGCGGTACTGCCGAGGGAAATGGTGAGAATGGCGATCGAAAGTCAGGCAAGGGCAAGAAAGAAAAGAAGAAGAAGGGCCAGAACACAGAGCGCGACTTCGGCAAATTTGACGATGCTTTTCGTCTTTGCAACAGCCGAGCTTTCTATCCCGAGTTTTCTCCTAGGGAATGCAAGTTTGGTGACCGATGCAGACTCTGCCATGATATTCGAAAATATCTTGAGGAAGGACGCCGAGGTGACGTTGAGACTTTCGATGGCAAATGCCCCGTGTTCGAGGCTCATGGCCACTGTCCTTCAGGCTGGAAGTGCCGCTTCGTTAAGAGCCACATGAAGGAAATCGAGCACGAAGACGGCCGAAAAGAGTTGGTGCTCATAAGCACTTCGGCCAACGGCGGCGAGAAGGGTGAGCCTAAAGATGAAGGGTCCGAGGAGCAGCGACCTGCTATTTTCAACGTCGTTAGCATGGATAAAAAGATTGACCTCAACCGCAAGCGAACTGACTTTACACGATCTGACCAGTACATCACTTGGCTTAATAAGGAAGCCAAGCTGAGTGAGGAGTTCATGAATCGTCGCAAGAATCAGTCCACCGAGGGCATTGAAGATCTACGCGCCCGCTTCGTCGACGCCCCTTTTCAGCCTTCTGAGAAGCGCCGTCTCTACTTCGGCCCAGAGACCCCCACCCTAGCACCTCTCACTACCCAAGGAAACTTGCCCTTCCGTCGACTCTGCGTTGAGCTTGGAGCCCAGCTCACATACTCGGAGATGGCATTGAGTATGCCTCTCATCCAGGGAACGAAGGCTGACTGGACACTTCTAAAGGTTCATGAGTCAGAGCTTTCTCCCCCCAAGTTTAACCCAGGCTCTGTCCCCATCTTTGATGACTACGACCACTCCAAGGATATTAAGTTTGGTGCTCAGATCTCCGGAAACAACCATTGGGTTGTCACCAAGGCTGCTGACGTCCTGAATCGTTACTGCCCTCACCTTCGCCTCATCGATTTGAACTGCGGTTGTCCGATTGATATGGTCTTCAAGTCTGGCGGTGGATCGGCGCTTCTCGAAAACTCAGGCAAGTTGGAACGTATGATACGAGGCATGAACGCTGTGTCTGGAGAGGTCCCTATCACTGCCAAGATCCGCACTGGTATTCGAAACTCCCGTCCTACGGCCACTCAGCTTATTGGAAAACTGGCTTTTGGTGCACGAGAGCACCGAGAACGACTTGGTGCCCCTGGATGTGCGGCCTTGACTCTCCATGGACGCAGCCGTGAGCAGCGATACACCAAGAAGGCTGACTGGGGCTACATCAGCGAGTGCGCCGCGCTCATCAAGACTTACAACAAGCAGAAGGACGCTCTGACTGACACCATCGCTGAGCCCGATGCCAGCAGCCTACCTAACGCCAAGGATGGCCGCATGTACTTCCTCGGCAACGGTGACTGCTACTCGCACACCGAGTACTATGAGCATATTGAGAAGGCTCGTGTCGACACCGTCATGATTGGTCGTGGTGCCCTCATCAAGCCTTGGCTCTTTGAGGAGATTGAGAAGGGCCAGTACCTCGACAAGTCATCCAGCGAGCGTCTCCGCTACATCGAGAAGTTCGTGCGCTACGGCCTTGACGCCTGGGGTTCTGATGAGCTCGGCATTGGATTCACTCGCCGTTTCCTTCTCGAGTGGCTTAGTTTCACGCACCGCTATGTCCCCATTGGCTTGTTGGAGTATCTCCCACCTTGCCTCAATGACCGACCTCCCAAGTACGAGGGGCGAGATGAGATGGAAACGCTTATGGCGTCCAACAACTTCAGGGACTGGATCAAGATCAGGTATGTTCATCCTTTTGTGGCACAATACACAACGGGTTTAATTTCTTGAGCCGGTATGCTAACTGGCTATTCACAGCGAGATGTTCCTTGGCCCCGTCCACCCAACGTTCAAGTTCCAGCCCAAGCACAAGTCTAACGCGTACGAGGCTGAGGGTTAAACCACAATTAAACAACGGAGCATTAAACAGGCGAGCGGCGCAGAAGGGTGCTTGTAAAGAATTGTTTGAGGCGGAAAAAAAAAGTCAATTTTTGGTACTCACATTTGCTATGTATAGGGATCTGGGCGAAGATACCACAGGGCATGGATGACTGATGTCTTCATGACGGACCCAAGAACGAGGTCTTATTTGCAGGGGAAAATGGAGATGTAAACCCGAAGCTTGTGTAATAGCGGAAATGTCTGGTCCAGTATCGATCAGATAAATGTGCAGAGAACAACTGGAAGGGTATTTCAGCTCAGCGCAATCAATTGTTATGAGATAACGGTGCCCATCAAGTAGCACTGTTGACAATGTTGAAATTAACAATGGTCTCCTAAGAGCTTAAGCAGTCATAGGTGGCTTTGTGGCGCGTGAGACCATGATGTCCTAGTGCATGTTTCCTGGATATACAGCATATGGAAGTTGACTGACTCAAGTTACGATTACTACAGCATTCCCATCATAAGATAGACAGTATGCTAATCTGTTACACCGGAATAGCTGTTGCACAAGGTCCGGTCAGAGGTCTTTGGAACATTTGAAGTCATATGCACTAGTCGTCTAGAGATTCCACACTTTCGGGTTTGGAAGCCCGGGCTGTCTTAAAATTTGCTGCTATTATTGTTTCGAAGATCTATCTACGCGGCTCATGAATTCGTCATGAGTCCTCTAGGATTTACATATGCTTGACCAAAATCGACGCACGAGCATTGATACCAAGTAATTTCATGACCATGAAACGCTATTCAAGCTTCATTCAATGACTTGACAAGTGAAAGTATATAGATGTATCTTTATGGGATTTATGTCTCCCCAGGTATCGCAAGACATGACGAAACCGTTCGAACGCTAGGAACTAATATGTGTGTGAAACCCACCCAACAACTCCGTGATGACTTTTGTAATCCAATCACCAATGCACCCTTGCAATATTCAAGACAGAATCGTACAGCTGTCGTCTTTATATGTGATTATCGACGTTTCCAATGTGGCTGAGGGCATTCTAGGAGTAGAAGTGACTCCTCTGCATGCCGTCGGCAGAAGCATACTCATTCTTGCCATCCTCGGGGCGGGTAATTGAGCTCGTTAGGGAGTTTGTACGGCTGCTCTCGCTAGGTGCGGCCTTGAGCTTCTTGGGCTCTTGTGCCGGGCGCTTGATGACTTCAAGGTAGGTAGATGGAAGATAGCCTTGGCGGCCGTCGCGGGATCGGCACTGCCACCACTCGCTGGGATTACCAGAGGGATCGCTTTTACTTAGGACGGCAACAAGGTCACCCTTGCGAGCCTCGAGCTCCATGCCTGTGTTAGGCTGAGGGAGGAAGTCGAAGGTGAGTCGGCAAAACTCCAGCTTAGCAGGGTCGACAGGCTGCTGTGACTCCATGGCCTGGGCCTGAAGGCGCTTCTGCTCCTGTTCTTGTGAGGCAGCAAGCGTCCTTATCATCTTGGACATTAGATAAGGAATACCAAAGGCGGCCAAGACGAAGAAGAGCAAAGGCTTCCTGCTGGCCTTTGCAGGAAGTGGGTTACCATCTGGTCCAACGCTCCGACCTTCGAAGCGAGCAAAAGCAGCTGGTGTGAGGGCAGTCGCATCGGCAGGCGGCGGTCGACCAGTAAGCTTGGCAATCAATGTGCGAATCCAGCGCATCAAAGTGAAGATGCCCAGCACGGAGCCCAGAGTATCCCTCAAGTTACCAAACTGTTCAGCGACAGAGACCATGGCTAAGAATTGTTAGTTGACTCTTCACTCTGAACCACCACAATAAAGAACTTACCAAAGAAGCTGGAGTGGGTAGCCATGTAGGTACTCTCAAGCATCTGGGCGAAGCCTCCAAAAGCCGTAACAATACCCTCGAGCATTTGGAAGGTAGCCTGAGTACTGTTGTTGAAGGTGTTGGTCAAGCTATTTTGGTCGCCAGGCATTCCCATGCCACCGCCGTACATGCCACCGCCCATGCCACCATACATGCCTCCTCCATAGCCACCGTATCCTCCGCCGTACATGCTACCATAGCCACTCATGCCGCCCATGCCACCCATGCCAAACCGCGAGTAGGGGCTGGAATAGGGTGACGAATACGCGCCGCCCATGGAGCTATACGGTGAAGAATTCATCCTGCTGTAATTGGCAGCGTTCTGGTTGACGGTTGACGTGAGAGAAGAAGGTCGATTGGGAAGCGGAGGGGCAGTGGATGAATCGGTGATCGATGTTGTAGTTCCGGACGCAACTGACGGCGAGATAGACGATGTTGCTAGAGTATAGTGAGCAGGCAGGCGCTTAGACGCGGAGGGTCAGGAGAAGGTGATTGGCATAAGACATGGAAAAGGAGATGGTAAGAGAGGAGAATTGATGATTGCGACTTACCAGCAGTCGCAGCCGCGCCAGGCTGCTCCCAGGGCTTGGGTGGAGAGGCCATGATATTGGATTGTTATCGCAAGGAGGAAGGGTTTAAAAGCCGGGCTCGGGCAATGGACTACCGACTAACGGTATCACAGTGTCAAAATTCGAGTCGTATAATCTATTGGGCCTCCTAGTAAAGCAGACTTGGCTTGGTCGTTGGCCACTCCTCGTGACGTTTGGTGGTGGACCTCGGAAAGTGTACCGGACGCAAGATCGGAGACTGACTCCGTGATTATATGCAACCCCCAGTTAGCGTAACCGCGGCGCGCGGGGACAACGGAGTTGCCTCGGGATACGGGAAAAAGTGCCGCCGAGACAGAGATATGATATGATTGCGAGGATCGCTCTCTCTCGAGAATTAGAGACGCGCAAGATTTGTGATGGTGACAGGTGTGGGCGTGGAGGTGATGAGAAGGAGGAGGGAGACGAGATTGTCGCAGAGGAAAAGCTGAGAAAGATGGAGTTGATTAGAGATAAAAAAAGAGTGGGGTCTCACTTAACCTAGGCTAGGCTTGAGAGGCAGGCGCATTCAAGTTTAAAAGGGAAGAAAAATCCGGGGGCGAATGGGACCGAACGAGAAGCCAGACCTCGGCAGACGAGGCCCCGCCTACTCTCATCGTTCTTGCCTTTTTGAGGCAATACGACTCGTGAAGAGGGGTGTTTGCCTTTCGAGATTTTGATGATGTGATGTTTGATGATCTGGTACTGGGTACTTACCTTGGGCATTTGGTTGATGAGTTTGCGAATATATCATTCCTTCAGATACAATAGCTCTTGAACATCAGTCAAATCACCAATTGATCATCCTTTTATCACAATCCAATTGCCTATCTCACTATAAACGGGTTTCCGTTGGCCGTTGTAGCTGGCCATGGTAAGTTTCCATGTGACGCTGATGCTTTCCGGTTTCGCCACAAAATCGGCTTTCCACAGGCAACTTGGTTCCAAGGACTAGCAATTTGACCTTAGGTCAATCTTAGTAGCCAGCTTACCCTATGACACATGATAGAAATATAATGAAAGGAAAACCTACTAATTCAAGCCATGATGAGTGCTTAAAAGTATACACATATAAATAATAACATTTAGCTACATCGCTTGTAATTCCTTTCGGCGTTCTGGTGCTGCTGACCTTGAAGAGCGAGTTGCTCCCATTGTCAATGTTCCTTTATCCTATCATGCATTATGTGTCACCCATTCTGGCTACTATATGGACCATTGCATGGCAAGGGAGGACTATATACACGTACAAATGAAGAATAAACAGCAATTCCGAGAAGCCTGTTCTAAACTCCAAACCGAGTTCTGAACTAGAATGAGAACAACCTTTCGATTGTGGAAGATGTTGCACTAGAAGGGATTTATCGAGGGCCGATCATGGCTCAATAGAATCTCAACCATAACAACAAACAACACAACACGCACCATGGGTGAAAAGCGACCACCAAGTCCTGGCTTCATCCCTAATCCATTCATCAAAAGAAGAAATCTCGAATGGACTCTGGACTCACCATCGCCCTCACAACCACCAACGACTGCTGACATAGAATCTGGATCAGCCACTGTAGAGGAACATCTCTCCCATTTCAAAGCGCATCTCTCTAAACATATAATAATCCCATCGCCACTATCAATATCATCATATGCCTCACTATATACTGAAAATTCTGGAAGCTCTGCAGGTGCTCATTTCGTCATTCATCAGCATGACCACCCAATTGCTGGTACGCACTATGACCTCCGTCTTCAGATCAATGAGACCAGCAGCGCCAGCTGGGCGATCATGTATGGACTCCCAGGCGACCCTCAAAGTACACGGTTGAACCGTAACGCGACAGAGACGCGAATTCACTGTCTATGGGTATGGAGTCATCCTCTCTCAGGACAATGAATTAACAATTACATAGAACCATCTGATAGAGACTGCCTCAGCCTCAACTGGCTCACTTCTCATTTGGGATACGGGAACATATAGCATTCTCCCCCGTCAAAGCAAGCATGCCCCAACGACTGATCCGTCTTCTCCACCGTCTTCACCAACTCCATCTCCCGCGCCAACACAGCAAGCTCTTCTGCACGCCGCTTTTCAGAACCGCAAGATCCGTATTCGCCTACACGGATCACGCTTACCAGATCCATATGTCCTGAATCTTCGTTTGACCAGGTCAGAAGATGTGGCCGGCAGAGTAAGGAGTGGAAGAACACCTCGGAAACGACGACGTCGTCACGCCGAGATGGATACGCAACCTGAGACGAGTGGTGGGGATAGTGAGGGTGATGCAAGTGAGGATGTCCCTACAAACACTGATGCGGGCAACACCACAGAAAACCTTTCTGCCATGGAACGTGAGATACGTGAGCTTGAAGATGAAGAGGTCCGCAGAACAAATGCATACCCAGGGGCTTCCAACACCATCGGTAGTGTACATCAACGACGATGGTATCTTTCACTTGATCGCCCGGCTTGCGGGTTTGTGGAAAAAAGAACCAAGGGCCATTCAGTTTGGGAACTGGAAGATGGTATGGAGACCAAAGACAAACAGAGGGACAATGGACGCTTGTCATACCCATTCTATGTTCGTGGGGCAGATCATGAGCGTAGTGTATTAACAGGACGGCGAGGAGCTGATATTCTCCAAGACGAGGGCGTGGATAACTTTATTCAACGGAAAGGTTGGAAGCCAGTGCTGAATTGACACTCCCCGATTGTGGAAAAAAAAAAAAAAAAAAAAAAAAAAAGACATGCGCAGTATTTAGAACAGACTATCAAAATTTATTGTATAGACTACATAATACCTAGGTTTGTGCCACATTCCTATTTTCCCATCCCGAGTGCATGGCTGTATAGCTCGTCTACCTTGATACCTGGCGAAGATCATATCCCGTAGACTGACCAGGACAACTACCTCGCCATAATCCCTTGTAAATCAATCCGTCTCGACCAGACTCATCAAACGCCATTCCATGCTTGCTAAATCGCGGGTCCACATGTCCGTGTAGACCGAGTCACACCCAACCCTAGTACTGCAGAAACAAATAAAAAACATACTTTTGAAATAGCAGTATTATAGCCTCTTTCACTACATCTTGAGCCTAACTTTTGGGCTCTACAAGCGTTGGAGCAATTCGCCTCTTCTTGGGCTCCTTGTTGTCTTCCTTTTCACCTTCACTCGCGTCGCGCTTGGTGCCCGCAACACTGCCTGTGGTACTTCGAGGAGTCTCGGGAGGTGTTGTGAGCGGAACACCAGTCACCTTGCCGGAGTTTGCTGCTGCAATGCCCGGAACATTGCCAGAAATAAGAGCTGGATTGGTAACTACACCGGCTGCGGGCACAGTGCTGGCCTGTGTAGTGATAGTTGCAATCGAAGACGTCGAATTCGATCTCGCAGGAGACGAGGGCCGTTGGGAAATAAGTGAAGCTGACTGGGGGGGCGAAGGGGCAGTGAAAGAGCTCGCCGAGTTGCGATGATGGTGATGCGAGCCATTAGGAAAGGGTGAAGGCGGAGCAAAAGCGGTCGTTGGGGTAGGCATGGGAGTGCTTTGATTAGACGAGGTGCCTGTTTGCGACTTGGGCGGACCAATTTCCCCCTTGTAGATTTCACCCAGCTCTCCAGCTGCAAAGGACAGCGTTGAGCAGAAACCATCAGAAGACGAGATCATTAAAGTCAGACCATCGCTTGACCTAGTAGGTTTGTTAGTCAATCTACATAGTTGATAGGTGATAGGAACTCCAGCATACCATGCAAGGTCAGTAAAGGTAGCGCAATGAAGATTGCTGACAACACAGATAGGGGTCTTTTGCTGCGTATCGTAAAGTAGGACCGAGTCTTGTGTAGCCACTGCGTAGACCATGCGATAAGGCAGGGAAAAGGCAGGCTTTGGGCCTGGTGTAGCCGAAGCAGTATCTGAACCCGATGTCTTCGCGTCTGATGTGGTTGAAGGTGGAGGAGGTGGATCCATGACAGAAGGAGCTGGGGATGGCTTCGAAAGAGGTTCTGGAAGGGATGGAATAGGCTCCTCCGAGGATGATGTGTCAATGGTGATATTGCGTGTGATAGGAGGAGACTGTCGCAGTGTGTAGAATATCGGAGAACATTTTACCACGACCGATGGCTTCTTGTGGCCCGGCAAATGGGCAATTGGGGGCTTGTTAATACCACCACGCGTGTAAATATAGACTGTGTTAATCACTTCATAAGTAGGTTTCGCGTCTCTCTCCGCCTGGTGTTGGTTTTGGTATTGTCCCGATGGAGTTAATAGCAAGCTGCCATCTGGTGTGAATGTGAGTCGTCGGAAAAAGGACGTGAGCGTCTCATTGGCATAGAGGTTCGCATTCTTCATTCCCAAGCCGCTGCTCAAAGTTGACGATGGTTTCGGAGAGGGTTCCATAGGCATGACAGCGGGCAAAGGCATAGATGGCGCTGGCGATACAGATCGTCGAGAAGAGAACGAAGATCGACGACTATGGCTAACGACGCTGGGAGGGTTCATGGGAAGCGCGAACGAAGTAGGCGTGCCGGGCGCAGAAGGCACAGGTGATCCGATAGAAGGCGCAGAATCGAGGACAGCAAGCGAAGAGCGATGACCAAAGTCGGGAGGAGCAGGACTGCTCGAGGAGATTCGTCGAGGAGGAAGATCGGCCTTGATATGGCTGGCAAGTCGAGGGGTCTTGTCATCTTGGCTGAGGGTGTATTGCCCATCCTTGGTTTTTAGAGAGTAGATATGAACTGATCGATCGGAGGACTGCGTCGCGATGTACTCGTTGAGGGGATCCCATGTGACGCCCTGCACGTAATGGCTGTGCTCGGCGATTTGGCGCACGAGTGTTCCTGTTTCCTGCGTTAGAAGCTGATGGTTATCGGGTCGTTGGTAGTCGTCTGCTGACCTGTCTGAGCGTTGTAGATTCGTGCTATGTTATCCATGCTGCCGATGATGAAGTGCACTCCGTCAGGAGACCAGGCTAAGTCATAGATCTCCGCGCCACTAGATCGACACATATGCTTTGCCCTCCATGACTCCTTATCTTCTGGGGCATCGGATCCGAAGGCTGTTTGGGGTGTTTCGCTTGGTACCCAGAGGATCACGTTGCCATCGTCGCCTGCAGAGGCTAGAAGCTCGCCTGAAACGGAAGCTATTAGCAGAGTAAATCCTGAAAGCAGAAAGAGACACTTACCCTTGGGCGCCCAGCGAACAACATTAACGGCTTGGTTGTGCTTTGAAAGGGTTGAAAGGTACTCGACCTTACGGTCCTCTCCATCGACCTGAACTTTCCATATTCTGATATGATTATCACCACCAGCCGTGGCTAAACGTCCCTTTCCTGACGGCTCGAAGTGGGCGGAGTAAACGGGGGCATTCTGGTCATGCCAATTGATGATTAGAGGAGCAGCTTTCATCGCGATGATATGTTTAGGTGATCAGACGGGGGTAGAAGCTGCATAGGTGAGGTAGGGAGACGCCCTTTTGAGTCTGTGGGAGAAGAGACTGAAGAGCTCTATTGCTCCCACGCTCGAATACGAACGAGGTCAACGGTCGAAGGTGAAAAGGTGACGCGAACCTAGGGCGGATGTTAAAAGAAGAAAAGAAGCCGAAAGTGGACTCTGGATGGTCATTCGAGGTTATCGGCAGTGATGGAATTGGCACGGTAGTGCCGAAAGTAGAGTAGCAACGGGTGAGTTTTGATGGTGGAGAGTAGAGCTCCAGGCTGGAGCTGTTGTGGACCTCTGAAAGCCTTTGATTAGACGCCAAGGCAAGCTGTAGATAGGAGCTACGGAGAACAACAAAGATCGGTAGACGAAGTTTAGTGTTGCTCGTTGATTGGATCTGAGAAATAAAAGGAAGAAGGGGGAAACGAAAAAAGAGAAAAGGAAACGAAGAGGAAGTGAATGGATGGAAAAGAGGAGCCAAACGGCACGATTGAGGTTTATTCCGGCGATACCTACAAGAAACAGGCCTGGCATCACTTTACTGTCACTGTCACTGCCACTGCCACTGCCAATGTCACCGCAACTGTCGCTTTCTTACACTCACGACCACGAGGAACAAGGCACGAGGCACAGGGCGTTTTGGCGTTCCTTCAGGCGTGTCACCAACCTCAGTCGACTAACTAAAATATGCAAGGCGCTGTAGGTGGACGCATTGGATAGTTTTACCTAGTAGAGGTTAAGTTGCGGCGGACGCGCGGGCGATCACACACATGGGGGATGGATCAAATGGATTGAATGGATCCAATGAAGAACAACATCCAATTCATGGATGGATGCATGTCACGAGGGGACAACGCACCTCAGTCAGGGCAAGATCTTGTTTTAAACTGTACTGTAGTAGTGGATTCTCAGTGGTGGAGGAGGTCCAAGACAGTTGCGCCGCAGCCAAGCGCTAAACCAAGGAATTAGTCGACTTTGCCGAGTATCATAATGCCTATTACCGAGTACTCTTTAGGCCTGTCGTCAGCGCAGTTTAAAGTGGTTGTCAGAGTGGCTGCATCGTGTACCAGGGACTCTACTGGGGTTCTGTGGATGGCCTATCATGTGCTGATGACAACTGAGACGGGCGAAGTAGCACCAAACGAAATGGGGGCCAAAGCTCATCAGCCCGGAAAGGGGACGAGTTCAGAACACTCAAAACGACCCGTCATCAAAAGAAACAGAAACAAAAAGTTTAATGCCTCCTTGGGTATCTGTTACTTGGCTTGTATCAAAGTTAACGTTGGCATTGGATGCATGCTCATGTAAAACAAGTGCTTCAATTCCGGTTGGCTCCCTTTGACTTACTTGTTGCACTAATATGTGGCTTTGATCTCGCATCTGGCATTCTTAAATATGTATCCATTGTAAAGTAAACAAGCGCCTTGTTAGGAGGAGTTGATCAGTGAGCTATCACACTGACCGTTGGCAACAATCAAGGTGCTAAGTGGGGGAAAGTCTCGCGGGGAAAAAGACATCCAGCCAGCATTACGTTAAAACAGCTAATCACATTGCTCGTCTTGATCATCTGCATCGCTACCAATGGCCTGAATCTCAATCACTACGGAGACCAGATGGGCCTTCTTTTTCAGCTCTCAGGATTCCGGCAATAGAAGAATGGCATGGATATCCATGACATCCACGGATATCCGTTCGTATTAAACATACAACACTTTGTTTTTCCAGATTATTGCTGTACGATGTGAATGAATTCTTGGTAGCCACGGCTATTAGGGAATGGACCTATAATTTCGCTACCCGTCTACTTCGATTATGTTATCTTTGTCTTCGGCTGTGTGGTAGAATTGTCTATTTATGGGATTGAGTTGAGACATAATGCATCGGTCAATTAGCTCACTAACACCTCCCTGAATAGGCAGCGTGGCTGCATCTCGAAACCCAGCCGCGTCTTGCTTGATGAGTGTAATATCGGCATCTGCCTAAGCCAGCCACCTTGCCTTAGTAGGAGATGCCCTTTATCACGGCGTATAAGATTGGTCCAAAAACGAGGTTGATTACTTCATGCTTTACAATAAGTGGTTTTCTTCCCCTATGCTTTTTCAATCAAAAGATTAATATTATTGATTTGAGCTGCCTTTTTAAGTTGACTGTCGTAGAAACTTGCTGACCGTGTCTGTTAAGGATATCTGTGACTATATCTAGCCTTTGTCAACGCTTAAAGAGTATGTGTTGTCTGTGACACATTGCCCTTGCTGGGTTTCGTGAGATCA